GACACAATCCCATCTTATTTTATTTTGGATTAATTTTACGATGTAGAAATGAAAGTAGACGTGTTCAAGCGTTTGATTTTTTACCGATCGACAGTTCAACAGTCAGTCTCTCACTGTAAACACAAGCTGCCGTCTTTCATCGTGTGCTGTGTGAAACAACAAGATGAAGGAAACTTCCTCTGTTGCGTCTCGAGTGGTGAAACTGTGGCGTTGTTGGTTTTCAGCAGCTTCCACTCTAAAGCTCAAATGTTGCACAACTAAATCTTCCTCAATCAGAACTCGGAGCAGATTAAAATGAGAAGTCAGGTGGTAGATATGGATGTTTCTTAACTCGAGATAGGAAACCATAACGGAATTATTCATTCATTTCATTACACAACACCACATTTAACACAGCAACAAAGTAACTAATGACAAATAATACAATTCTTATTTCCCTTTTAAAGAGTGAGAGGCCACAAAAACACAGTCAGGCTTTCTAACCAGTTAATATTTGTAACATGATCATGTCTGAATTATTCACGTTAATATAAACACGATCTGTGCTGAGAGAGTCCACAAAGATATTTTCTTTTATTTGGAGGCAAATCTTTAGTTTTCTAAATGCTTTCAGTAGTTCGGCCACAATGATCAACGAGCTGCGTTATGAAAGTCAGACTGGAGCTTCCTGCAGCTCCTCTGGTCTCTGTGTTTGGTTCTGTGGTCGACGGTGAGAGGTGACTACGGCTCAGCGTTCAACGCCATCGTCTCAGACAGCCTCACCACCAAACTGGAACGCCTTTAGACCCCCCAGCTCCTGGATCAGACACTTCCTCACCAACTGGCCTCAATCTGTCCAACCATCTTTGTCCCCCCAGAGGTCATCGTCAGATCCTCCTGTCTCAGGTAAACCAGGGCCATCACAGCTGAACCCTCAAACCCCGCCCACCAACTGTTTGACACCTCCAGACTCACTAACAGCTCCTTCCCCCCACACCCCATCCTGCCCACCCACCTCACCAATCTGAGCCATGGTCACAGGACACTCACACAGACTCTATACTCAGCCCTGTCTTTGCACTGTTCTCAAACACGTGTGTCTCCATTGGCTGCCTTTCTCTTATTTATGTCTATATTCCTCTAGACTGTAAACATCTCCTCTGTTTGCTGTTTATTCCCTTTTTTTTCTTCTTTTTCTCTAAAGATGGCGCATAAAAGCAGGACTGAGTCCTCTGTGTAGAGCGACAGTAACTGTGTGTTTGTAAGCATTTAAACAATGCAGAGAGTAAAATGAACAGCAACAGTATTTTGTCTAAGTCCATCATTGTAGAAATGATGGCGCACAGCGTGACGTCAAAAAAGGCGCACACCTTTGAC